TGTGGGTTACAATCAACGTTAATTATTTACAGGTTTCCCCTCAACCAAACCTGTAAATAATTAAGTGTTGTGTTGATTGTGAGCATACGGTAATGTTACAAATACCTTAAATCTTTTTTTTTTAAAGAGAATAAAAAATAATACAAAAAAACCCCAACACTTTAGAAGCAGTACAGATTTCTCTAAACCAGATGACAGGAATTAAATAGTGGTTGTTGTTTTGCATACTGTTGTCTTCAAATTAGCTGTTCAAACTACCAGTTATCAGCATGCAAAATTGGTAAAAAAAATATAAAAATTACAAAGGAGAGAAAAAATAACTTAAGCATTAATTGTTCCTTTCAATAGACCAGCAGAAATCAGCAGTACAATTATCCAAGCTGTCCTATGTATATACATATATTATTTCTTTTTCCCTTCTTTCTTTTGTCCTTTCCCTCATTCCAGTTGTTCTGTCCCTTTGAACAATTTATTTCCCTTTCATTGTATCGTACCTTTCAAATTTTATTTATTTTATTTTTTATTTACATTAGGGAGGCAATAGAATTTGTCATAACTAAATCTTGGAAATGACCTGAATGCCCATCAACAGAGGAATAGATGAAAAGAAGTGGTATTTTTTATACAATGGAGTGTTGGCTATAAAAATGATAAACTGAAGACTTATAGGTAAATGGATGCAACTAAAAATCACACTTGTAAGTGAAAGAAAGCAGACTCACATGTATAAATCTCTTTGCACATAATAATCAGTAAATATTTATTATTACCACCATCATGATCAGAATTGCTATAATCAGTTTTTTTTTTCTATCAGCCTAATGCTAGTTCACATGTGATCATCTTTACACAGCAGGGCTCCTCTGTTTTTTTTTTTTTTTTTCTTTTTTCAGAACCAGGGATTGAACTCAGTCACTTGCGCTTGCCAGGGAAGCACTTATTCCACTGAGCCATCTCCCTGGCCCAGCAGGGCTCTTCTGTCATTGTTTTCATTGTGGCCATTTGACTTTAAGATATGAAGAACTAATATAATATATTAAAAATTAATTTTTAACATCCATATTTCAAAATTTCCCATTAAAAATCTCCATTTAACCTTCATGCCTCAGTACTCTAATTGTGCACCCACTTTTATGTCCACTCCGGCTCCCAGTCGCCTCACGTTCCCAGGCCCTGACTCTCCGGGCAGCGCCAAGTGGTGGCTACCTCCTTCCATTCTGATTTGCAAGTCCAACACATTTGTGAGCTTATTGAAGGTGCTAAGGAATCTGCAGAGTGAGGGAACATGCCCGTTTAATCCCCAGCGGTCTTTCTTGCCTATAGGATTCCTAGTCTCACGGATCTCTAGCCCCTCAGAAATATTATCTGTCAAATCTTTATTTCCCTACACTGAGAAGGATAAAAAACGAAGGGTACTGTTGGGTTAATAATTACTTAGGATCTGGAGGACTTTGAAGTTCTGCATTGGCTTCTAAAAGAAGCCTTTCTTTTGGAGCGCCACCTTGTGTTCACAAGGAAGAAAAGCAGGAGATGTGATGAATTGTGATTCTGAAGCGAGGATATCTTCCACACAGGGTGTATTTGCAGAAGTAAATATACTGCTTTCTAAAGCTTTACACATATTACTATGTAGTTAATAGTTGGGAAAGTAGTTTACTTTTAATCATTTCAAATATGGAAAGATAAAAGTTTTATCCTATTTAACTGTAGTCCAATTGGCACTTTAAAACATATGTGTACAGTCGAGATGTATTAGTTATAATTTTATATACACACTGTATGCATACTATATAAGATTATATATATGATAGTCTGTTGGATTTCTTGGAGAAGTCTGAGTTCTCAGTCTCTACTCCTTTTTCGTGAAGTACTCATGACTAATAGTACTTATCTTACATAACGCTCATCATAGTGGGACTAGAAATTTTTAGGAATACTTAGGAGGTCTTAAAATTTAAGTTTGAGGCCGGCAAGATAGCTCAGCGGACTATGCACCTGCTTAGGCAAGGGCAGGGACCAGGGTTCAATCCCTATGTGCTACCATATGTGCTGGCCCTGCCCCAGGCACACTGAGCCAGCCACCCAGTCTGGTCATGGTGGCATATGCTTGTAATCCCAGTGCTGGGGAGGCTGAAAACAGAAGGGTCACTCCAAGTCTGAGCTTTGTAGTGAGCCCCTGTATCGAATACATAAAAAGGTAAATAAAAAGAAAAAAAATTAAGTTTGATAACCACTATTCAAAATTATAATTTTATGTCATAGTTTCTCAATTGGTAAATATTTGGGGTGAAAGCTTAACCAGCCCATTAAAAAGGTTATTTCCCTTTATTCTTCTGTTTGCTGCTTGGCTTGGGTTTTTTCCATCAGGTTTTGTATACTGTGTGACAGTTGTGCTGGTCTGTGTTAGTCTTATAGGTACAAGTCCTTGAGAGCAGATTTTTTGCTTAGTTGACCTTTATTTTTATTTGCTCTTTGTATCTTGTGTTAACCGAGTTCGTGCTCATAGGAAAGGACTAAATAATAACATCTTAACATATGGGACAAAATTTTACAGCTGTGTTTTCTACAAAATAATCATTGTGTAAGACAATACTTAATTCTGATGAAAGCTATTATCTAATATATATTTATGTCTTGTGCTTTATCATTGGCTCAGTGTAGTTGACACCTGTTTTAAGTTTTTCAACGTGAGTGCTAAAAAATAAAAAAGTATGTAAATCACATTTTGTTTTGTTTTCTCACAGTGTCTTTTGCATAAGATGACCTCTAAGTGGGTTTTTCAGATAGTTCTCTACTTTGGTTTGGAAGAACTTAAAAAAAATTTTGCCTTGCTTTTAGGTTTTGCATAATTTTCTCAACACAGGTTACAAGGGATGTAAAGAAGGATTTTTTTAATTTTTAACTTTTTAAAGATTTCTTACTGTCAACTCCACCAGTACCAGGAGGTTGGGACAAAATCCTGGGTGCATGACTATTCTTATGGCTTGGGGTTCTGGATTTGAGATTTGCATGTAAGTAGATGTGATTTAATTGATTCAACAAGAATACTTGCATTAGAAAAAATTGCATCACAGGAATCAAATTTACACATCAATGATTTCCATGCCAGGATGGCGATTTATATGAAAGACCACTGATTGTGTAATCAAGACCCCACACAGTATTATCTGGAAAGATATGAACCCTTTGCTGAGATTCAGATGAGTAGGGGGCTCACTTCACACAGAGTAGGGCCAAAGTGACAAGTTCTTACTTTTTTTCTTTAAAATATTAGCTTGATGAAGGTACTTCAATTATTTATATACTTCCAATACTTTCTCACAATTTCCACACTAGAATTCACTCAGAAGGAGGCCAGTGTAAAGTGGTTTACTGCTGCTAATTCATCCATCCCTAATCCCATTAGGCTGTTAATTCCCAGAGGGCATAAGCAGTGGTAGACACTGCTCCCAAACGCTAAATGTTATTTAGTGAAAGCATGGGGTCCTTCGGAGTCTAAAGAATATGCTGTGTTTTTCAACATTACTGAACTCAATTTGTATCACCTTATTTGATCTTACCACAATCTACAGCTGACACTTTTAATATCTATTTTCATGCAGCTATATGAGGAATAAGAATTTCTGCTATGTTTTCATATTCCCTTGAACCTCGGTATGTAATTATACTGAATATATAAGCAGAAAGTTTACGTTGTCTTTTGTCTCAAGGAAAAAAAAAAAGCAATTTCTTAGAACCAAAAGATGAAATGTGAAGTAGCAAAGCTTCAACTAGCAAAACAAACTTTAGAAGAGAGAAAGGTAGGTTTAGAGAGGATGAGAACAATGGAGTGCCTCAACCACAGGTGGTATAAAGTACATGTTCTAGTATATTTCTTGTCTCTCTGTTTAAAAATTTGCAGGTTTTCCTATTGAAAACCTATTGTTCATCTAAGTAAAAGGTTTGTTTTATTAAAGTCAATTGTTTTGTCTCCATCTTTGGGTTCTGGATTATACAGTGCTGTTCTCTGTCTTGGCATAAATAAGGTATTGTCACTGGAGTAACCTAGAATTTTCACTGGCTGAAATTCATCTCTGTATGGCAGATATTTTATATGTAGTATATAAAATACACATTTTATATAAACAAGGTGTTTTCTTTGAGAGCAGATGATCTCAATGTCCCTAGCTGACAAGTCTATTGGGGGCAGTGTAAGTCTACTTGGCCGATTTAAGAGGCCTCTTTCCTCTTTCATTATCTCTATTCTCCAGGGCGGACCCCCTGCCAGCACAACTCCAAGGGGGTCCTGAGAGCTTTGTAAACTCAGACCAATTTCTTGCCTTTGGAGACCTGAAAAGGGTGCCCCACCCGCTCCTCTGAAAGGAAGGATTTGATAGTTTCAAAGCTTTTAAATCCAAGTTCGAAGTCCCTAATCCTCACCCCCAGGACCCCCCACCTCAAGGTTTACGGACCCCTCTCTTCACACGCTTAGTGCTCTGGACTGGCCCTGGAACTCCTTGTCCCACTCCACAGTTACTGTGGCTCGGTGTGAAGAAGTCACCCAGGACCTGTGTTACTTCCCTTGCGAAGAAACAGAATTATCGTGAAAATTCGGGTGGAAATCTTTTCGTTTTTGTCCCTAAAATAAGGGAAGGATGTGCTTAACCATCCCTGGGAAAAAGAACTTTGAGAGGCAAAGGAGCGACCAGGTAATTTAGAAGAAAAACAGAAAGTGGTCTCTCACGGCCCTGGGCTTCCTTTGGAGTTGGGGGATTTGGGGACGCCTAGCCGGGTTGTCCGTGTGGTTGTGGGTAAAAGAAATGGGTAGAACGGAGCTCAAGGCTTCTGGCATCCTTCCCTGATCAAACCCGGGTGATTTGGTGCAGGGCATTTTAATATTTTCTCCCTTTTGTGAGGTGGAACAAACACAACTCGGGCGCACCGCGGCGGCTCGGAGGCTGCCAGCCGGGAGGCGGCGGACGCACCAATCAGCGCGCGCCTGCGCTCTATATATACAGCTTCGGCGGCGCCACCCAGCCACCGCGTCCTCGAACCTCAGGATGTCCGAGACCGCTCCTGCCGCTGCCCCTGCCGCCGCGCCCCCGGCGGAGAAGACCCCTGTCAAGAAGAAGGCTGCTAAGAAGCCTGCGGGGGCGCGCCGCAAGGCCACTGGCCCGCCGGTGTCCGAGCTCATCACCAAGGCTGTGGCCGCCTCCAAAGAGCGCAGCGGGGTGTCGCTGGCCGCCCTCAAGAAGGCGCTGGCGGCCGCTGGCTATGACGTGGAGAAGAACAACAGCCGCATCAAGCTGGGGCTGAAGAGCCTGGTGAGCAAGGGCACCCTGGTGCAGACCAAGGGCACCGGCGCCTCCGGCTCGTTCAAGCTCAACAAGAAGGCGGCTTCCGGGGAGGCCAAGCCCAAGGCCAAGAAGGCGGGCGCGGCCAAGCCTAAGAAGCCCGCGGGAGCAGCCAAGAAGCCTAAGAAGGCTGCGGGGGCCGCCGCGCCCAAGAAGAGCGCCAAGAAGACCCCCAAGAAGGCCAAGAAGCCCGCCGCGGCTGCTGGCGCCAAGAAAGTGGCCAAGAGTCCCAAGAAGGCTAAGGTTGCCAAACCCAAGAAGGTCAAGAGTGCGTCCAAGGCTGTGAAGCCCAAGGCCGCCAAGCCCAAGGTTGCCAAGCCCAAAAAGGCGGCGCCTAAGAAGAAGTAGATTGACTCCTTCTCCAACCCCAAAGGCTCTTTTCAGAGCCACCACTGATCTCTGGAGGAAGAGCTGACACTTGTTTACTCCTGGTGCAGCCTGGGCGTGTCCGTGCGCTGCGCGCCGATCCTGTGACTTTTCCTCCCCTTGTTGGCGCCCTGCCTCGCTGCCGGGTCAGGCACTTCCATCGCGGGTGGTGGACTGCGCTTTCCAGTCTTCGGCTGTTGCCTGCAAAAACCGGTCTAGATCTGGTGCTCCGTACGGCTTGGACTACAGGGGATTCGAAAGTTCCCGCTCTGCGCTTGGGTTGGCGCGTGCGTCTGGCCGCGGCTTCTCCAGTGTCACTGGGCGGGCGGCCGCTAGAGTAATCCGCCCGGGCTCTTTGCAGCAGCCCTGCTAGGAGGTGCAAACCCACTGCTCCCTGGACGCTGCGAAGAGGGTGGGTATCGGCAGCTAATCCTGCAAGCACGGGAAAGAGACGAACTGAAATGCTTTACGGTGGCAGGAGTTCCGCCTTCCCTGGGGGGGGGGGGCGATCGTCCAGGGTGACTTTGTAACTTCCTGAGCCGTGTCCCTAGAAGTGACGAGCTTTGAGGTCTGCGAACGTAGGTTTCTGCTTAATCTTCTCTGAAACTTAGAGGTTTTTAAGTGTTAATTTGTGTATCTTAAAAGTATTTCTATGTAAAGCACAACAAAGTAACGAATTGCGCAGACATGCCTGTTTCCAATAAAAGGCTTTAGTTTTCATTAGCAGTGTTTGCATTTTTCCTAACCGCGGAATTTCTCCTGGATCTAGTTCTGGCTCCTGGTATTTTTTTTGTGTCGGGTAGATTTTGGTGAAAAAAAGATGACAGACACTGTAGTTTCTGGAGGCTAAGGCCCAAATTTCCACAGGGTAATCTGGTGTGAGTGAATTTCCCTTTGGAATTTAGCAATAGGAAAAGGAGGGGAGGAAATTCTATTGTTTCTTACACAAATTTTGAGGTAACAACCCCTTCCCGTACCTCCCCGTCCCTCTCCCACCCCGGCCCGCCCTGCATGTAAACAGGATCTCATTTAGTCGCCAAAAGCTGAGAACTGTAGTACTGTTTTGGAATCCTGCCACAGCCTCCAAGAGTGCTGGGATTACAAGTTCGTACTACCGTGCCCTGCTTTGTGTTTATTTTTTTATTTTAGGGAAGGGTCTACAGGGTGTTCAGGGTTCCACTACTATATAGGACTCGTAGTGATCCACCTGTTTACAGCCTCCCAAGAACTGATATTATAGGCGCGCCCCGCCACGCCCAGTCTCAGTTGCCATCTCTAGCGCACCCCGGGGACGGGGCCGGCACGGAAGATCCAGGATCGAACCTCAGGCTCCTGCGCCTGCTTGCAGGTGCTTTAATCCGCTGAGCTATTTGGCCGGCCTGTGTTGCTATTTTTACAAGTATTTGTTTCTTTGTGTTAGTGTCAATGAATACGTACACAGCACTATTTAGATCCTCTACAGCCTTTTATAAATGTTCATTCTGTATTTCCTTCCCAGTTTTGACTTCACCATTATCTTAGTCTAAATTTCCTCTAGACTAAATCTTGGATTTGTTACATTCCTTTGGTTTTTTTGGCCATTTGTAAGGTATGGTATAGCTGTTCTAAATACTGTTCAGAACTCTACCTGCAATGCTCAGAATACCTGACATATAATAGTCGTAGTAACTGCTGTTATAATATGACCAGTAGCTGATAGGAATGAAATTCCTCTTCTTACTGTCCTTTTTCAGATCCTGGTTTACTTTGATTTTTTATATTTACTTGAAGATGTCCTCCAATCTTCCTTCTAGATATCCTCCAACTTTCCTTCGTCACTTACTGAAAAAATCCACTGATTATTTTATTGGGATTGTGTTAAACCTATATATTTTGTAGAGATGTTTTCTTTTTTTTAAATATTTATTTATTTATTTATTTATTTATTTATTTGGTACAGAGTCTTGCTATGCAGCTCAGACTTGTAGTGATCCTCCTGTCTCAGCCTCTCCAGCTCTGGGATCACAAGTGGGCGCTGCCACACTGGTTTTGGTGGTCGGCATGTCAGGCGGTACTGGTTATCTAACTCAGCTCCTTGCACTTGCCGGACAGGCGCTCAAAGCCCAAGCTATCTTCTCAACGGAGATGAAGTTTTCTTATTGAAGTCTGACAAGTCTATTTCTCTCTTTCTTTTTTTTTGTACTGGAAATTGAATCCACGACGGTTGCACTTGCTATCTACTCCCTAGCCTCTCTGTTTCTCTGGGTTGTCCCTTTTCTTCTCTTCTCTTTTCCTCTCTCTCTCTCTCTCTCTCTCTCTCTCTCTCTCTCTCTCTCTCTCTCTCTCTGTTTTTGAGACAGGCCCACATTTCCCAAGCTGAACTCCATCAAACTTGTGTTTCTCCTCGCTTAGCCTTCCAGAGTGCTGAGATTATAGACACTGACACCCTACTTGGGATTTTCCTGTTCCTTGCTGCCTTTGTGCCTACTTTGCTGCTGTTGGAAATGGCCAACTCTCACTTTTACATTCCTTGAGGACTGTTGCATAAAGCACGCATTAACACTATCCAGTTACTGAAGATGTCTTTGCAAATGGATTAGCAGTTGTAGAGCAAGTCTGTCCATTATCAGAAAGGTGAGCATAGAAGCAAGCCACATATGCAATTTAAAGTTTTGTAAAAACAATATAAACAAGGAAAATATAGGTAAATCCATTTTAATTGTATGCTTTTATTTCACTTCAGTTGCCTAAGATATTATCATCCAACATGAATATAGAAGTATTTATGAGCTCTTCTGCATTCCTTTTGTTTTCATACTGTCTTTATAGTCTCACGTGTGTTTTTATGTAATACAGCCCTGTTCATGAAAGTCTTTTGCCGGTGCTAAGCCCCTTGTGGCTCAGAGAGGCTGAAAAGTGCAACTCTAGAATGCCCAGTGGCTTCATCCTGGCCTTCTGTGGTCTCTTCTTGGTTTCAAATAAGTGTTCTCTAATATGTACCATCTTCTGTGTACTAAAATATTGAAGATAAGATATCGGACTCAAACAATAGATTGATCCAGGTGCTGGGGAGACCTAAGGGCCTGCCTGGTAAGCACAAGGTCCAGAGTGTGATCCCCCATATCACGTGCTGTGCTGGTCCGAAACCAAGCATGGTGGTGCATGCCTGTAATCCCAGCACTTGGGAAGTTGAGACCAGAAGATCTCTGCAAGTTTGAGACCAGCTTGGCAGCTACAAAAGTGAGCACAAGGCCAGCCTAAGCTGCATAACACAATCCAGAAGTTATGAGCCAATCAATAAGTTTACATTCAGAAACTGAAAACTGAATTTTAGAAATTTTAATTGATCTGATATCTGGGGCTGAGGATGACTTTTCTTATACCACACAAACAAAGACACATGTTGGGCAGAGAGAATAGAACAGAACAGGACAATAGAACCTGGTATAGGTGAAAGATGTATGAAGGCATATTGCCTGGCTTTTTGTCATCTCAGTTTTGGGTCTTTGGGCGATCTGAACTCTTGCCATGGGGTCACCTCTCTTAGTTCAGGTTGAGTCAAATTGCACCAACAGGAAATTTGATGATGGTCCTCTAGATATAATCACATTCTAACCATGGGAAGGGTCCCTGGGCTTCAAGAAATGATGTTTGAGGCAAGGGTATGGACAAAACTAATACAAAGTGGGACTTATTTAGTAAGGATTGCTTATGAAGACCTGTCTTAGTACCACCTCCCTATCTGAACTGGGAAGAGTTTTGCTTTTGCAGTAGAGAGCATCTCATTAGGGAAACTTATGCCACCTGTGTAAAGTGTAATTTATGCTTTGCTTTTAGGTAGGTAAGGGGAAAATGGAGAAGTCCTCCTGTATCTGGCGATGTTAAATTGCTTTCAGCTCCAAATAATCTTTATGTCACTATGGCATGTTCACTGGTCACATTTTTGATTCCCTTCAAAATCTCTATAATACTTATAATTAGTATTATTAACATTTCAACTTTTTGTTGCAGTGTACAAAATGTTGAAAATAGCAATAATATATTCATATTATTCCCCAAGCACTGCTGTTTAGCCAAAATTGCCAATGACTTTTCCATAAACTAGACTGTTGATTTAACCATGAAAATTCAAGAAATTGACCAGGTAGATTGAAGTGTAACACAGAAATTAGTGTAACACAGGTAATACATTATTCACATTTTCATACAAGTGATCTAATGACTGAAAAATTAGATGTTCTGTTCATACCCTAGGTAAAATTTCAGCTATGGGCTGTGTGAACCCGAGGGCGACGTAGATGGTATCTGTGCTTGAAATTCATGCTGCAGGTGAACATGCTGGCTACAGACAGATCGCATTTTTTCAGGAGGGAACAGCGATTAAGTGGTAACAACAGTCCTAAAAACTAGCAGTTCCTTTCTTTCTTTTTTATTTTGTTTTGAGAAAGGGTCTCACTGTGTAGTTCATGCTGAACTTGGACTAAGCAGCTCAGGATGCCCTTTGACTTCCACTGAGTGATCCTCTTACTTCAGCCTCCTGAGTACTGGGATTTCAGTTGTGCACTACCAAGCCCAGCTAAGAACTAGCAGTTTCTTACTATTTATATACAGCATGTCAAGTGCTGTGGCTGATTACATTTGTTTTCAACAGGTTCTTACTGCTGCACTTGGAGGTAGGTGCTGTTATACTCCCAGTTTTAGGACTAAAGAACTGAGGCTTTGTCACAGGGAACCAGTTAGAAGCCAAGTGGATTCCAGGAAATGTTGAGCGTGGTTGTGTTTCTACTTCCATGATACCATGGAAGTGGTGGTGGCCTGTGTCACTCTCAGAGTGAGAAAGCTGGATAAAAGACTCAACTTTAAAAATTTAATTTCAATGTTAATTTCACTTGGACAACATCAATTATGTAACAGCTTCTGCTCTGCAAATACCACACTCACAGGAGCCTCAGAAAATTAAGAATCACATATTTAATACCTTCTAGTGCTATATTAAAATAAAAAAGAAGAAAGACCTAACATTATTTTAATATGTTAATATTATTTCAATAAGTAATTTAAATATTGAATTAATTTTTGTGTGTGTGCTGAATCTTCAAAATCTGGCACATCTGTAATCCCAGCACCCAGAGGCTACGGCAAGATGATCACCCTGAGGTCAAGGCCACATTTGGCTACACAAGAAAATTCAAGGTCAACTTGTACCACATAGAGAAACCTTGTCTCAAAAAAAAAAAAAAAAAAAAAGTACAACTCAACTTGGATAGGCCATATGTCATGTGCTTAATATCCACATATGACAAGTGGCTGCTACATTGAACAGCACAGCTCTTCTTTTGTTTTGAATTCTTTTATTTATTTTACTTTATTTTATTTATGTAGTTAGTACAGGATCTACAGGGTCTCACTACGTAGATCAGACTTGCAGTGATCCTCCTGTTTTCAGCCTCCCAAATGCTGGGATTATAGGCACAAGCAACCACTCCCAGTCTCAATGGTGGTCTCAGCTCGCCCCAGGGGGCAGGGCATGGTTGGCAGGGCACATCAGTGATCCAACCTCCGTCCCTGCATCTGCCTAAATCAGGTGCTTTAATCCACTGAGCTATCTGGCCAGCCCCTACAGCTCTTAAACTAATGGTAACAGCACAAATACAGAGCCCATGAGCACACACACACACACACACACACACACACGCACACACACACTCTCTCTTCAGGAAAAGCAAAATAGTAAGATTTTTTGGTGTTATCCTCGTATGGCGAACCCTAAAGGATGTTGTATATGGCTGAAAAACCACTACACAGTTGCCCTTAGAGAAGAATTTGTAAAATGCATATGTAGCAGTCTCAACGATCCAGGTTACCAAGGGAGAAGAAGTTTGTTGTGCTATCAATGTCCAAAGCGAATGGCCACCATTTGAAACTGTAGAGGCCACAAGTAACTTGTATTGACTTCATGATGTCTCAATAAATTTAGGATTAAAATATTTATATAAATTTTTTCTGAAGTGAGCATACGTTTTTGGGAGTCAGACTGTAGTTGCTCTGAGGCAGACCCTAGATGTTTTCAAGAAAACAATAGCTTTGTTCGGGTCCTAAAGAGTATTCCTGAGACCTGATGTCCCCTAAAGTGATACTGATACCATATACACTGAACTTAGATCTCACAACGTCCAGGAATAAAGTCATGAGCCAAAAAGAGGAAACTAGGAGAGCTTTTATTGGAAATAATAAGAAGTATAGCTCCTGGATTTCCAGGAGAGGTCTCAAGTTGGTAGCTGCAAAGCCCCTTGAAGGAACACTAAATTTAGATAAGTAGAACACAATTGTTTAGTAGCCACCTATCCCAGGCCACTGTCTGGCTTTAAAATAATCAATTGGAACTGATTCTTTCTAACCCAGTTCTTCAACATATAGGCTTTAATGGAAACTAGGATTTTGGGGAAAAAAATCCTGATTATTTGGCATGTTAAATTCTTCTCTGGCCGGTGAGATAGCTCAGCCGAATAGGCACCTGCTTAGGCAAGTGCCGGGACAGGGATTCAATCCCAGGGACTGCTGGCCCCACCCCCAGGTGTGCTCAGTGGGCAACAGAGTCTGGGCATGGTGGTACAAGCCTGTAATCCCAGCGCTGGGGAGGCTCAAAACACGAGGATCACTATGAGTACGAGCTTCATAGTGAGACCCTGTACCAAATACATTAAATAAATAAATAAATAAATACACAAATTCTTCACAACTCAGGAATTTAGTAGAGTGACCACAGCTCCCTTTGGAAGGGAGGGGGTTGCATTCTATGTTGCCTGAGGAAATTCACCGAAAAAGCTTTAAATATTTTATTAATGGTACATGTTTAGGTCTGGGTGGTGGCACACACCTGCAATCCCAGCACTTGGGGGGTTGAGGCAGGATTATTGCTGGAAGTTTTAGGGCAGCTTGAGCTGCAAAGTGAGTTGGAGGTCATCTTTTACTCCATAGTAAAACCTCCATCTCAAGAAAGAAAGAAAGAAAGAAGAAAGAAAGAAAGAAAGAAAGAAAGAAAAAAAAAAGAGAGAAAAAAAAAGAAAAAAAGAAAGAAAAAAGCACATGTTTGCAGTACATGATGTTTACATTTCTTCGGAAGTTGGCACATGTAACACATCTTTTTTCATCCCATCCCTACCTCACCTATCTCCTTACTTTCATTTTTTATCTTTTTGTACATATGTGTAGTACATAATGTTTATTTATGTTCACTGGATTTTAAAGTTCTCATTGGATTTATTTGTGTTCATTGGATTTTAAAATCTCAGGAGTTTAGTAAGGAGTGATTACAGCTTCCTTCAGTAGGGAAGAGGCTGCATTCCATGTTGCCTGAGGAAGTCCGTTCTCGTCCAAAGTTCTACTTCCTTGTCTATTCTTTCTTTAATTCTTATCAATACAGATGGCCAACTAATTCTACCTCAGGCTTCCCCCCCCCCCCGGCTAGCTGGCTTACTCATAAGTGAACTAAATAAATTATTTCTCCAGTACTGCCCACTTTACCTCCTACCAGCTCTCAGAGCAGCTGACTCTGGTGACAATGTAGCCAGGCCAGGATACTCACAGCCACTTCCCATCTACCCTGCGGCAGCCCTGTTTCTGAAATAGAATTATTTTTGAGGAAGAAATTATATTTGATAATCCACTTGTGGGTAAACTTATTTAGCAGAAAATTCAAAGGTTGTGGGCTTGATGAGAATGCTTGGCTAGTGGTGACAATGGGATCAATTTACTAGAATCTCTTATGCTGAAGTTCCTCTGTAAATTGAGATGCAGAGAGCTTGCCTTGAAATGCAGAGGCCAGTCACTTTACATAGCACTTGACTCTTGAAAAACAATCCTTAGCTCTTCCCCTGCCTCTAGGAATCTGTTTTCATTTTCTTCCAACTCTAGAAAGGATGATGATATTCAGTACGGAATGAGTACAAAACCTTCCAAACTGACCTCAGCACTAAAAATGTTATGTTCAAATTGATTAAAGGTGACTTTCTCTCTCTCTCTCTCTCTCTCTCTCTCTCTCTCTCTCTCTCTCTCT